GATAGAGTCTGCTTGCTTTAAAATCATTGCTATCTATGCTGAAAAGTAAGAACACACCTGTGAGCGTTATGCTTGGTACATTTATACATAGTATCGGAACTCGTGTTAATGAAATAGCACTACGGTACTCTAATTCACAGGGACCTGAGAATTTGTCACAGCTATATTTGGACCTAAACAAAGGTGTTCAGAGCAATTTTATATGTTTTAGGGGTTTAGATAGGTAAAAATGGCATCCCCAGTGATCATATATATGCAAGAAGGGTGGAAAGCTCTTGATGTCGAAAAGTCGACCCAACCTCACTTTCTTGCATCAAAAACAACATTTCTAGTTGATCTACGGGAAAATGCTTAGTACTGTTGGAAAGATGGATATTTTTTCTTTCAAAAACCTCCTGTATGCAAGAAAAAATGTATTCTCCTTCAGCGGACATGATCTCTTGTTTCCTTCAAAAACACACACCATTTCGTTTTTTGCAGTCATCGTGCCACTTTTTGTATATTAATGAGGTTGAGGTCAGCCACGTGTTCTAATTTAGTTATTTCACTTGTAATAATGATGAAAAAAAAACATAAATATTTTTAAGAAATTTTTCAATTATTATTTTTTTTATCATCATCAATATGAGACAAACTGACTTATGCAAACACACTGCATGTCAGTAGGACAAGGTCAATTGTATCATTATCATTATCGTGTGTAATAAGTGGTCAAGTATTTACCTAGCTGTATCTACCTGGGTACGGTGACAATGACTGGTCAAACTAAAATTTTCCTGTATCGTGTTTACTATTAGAATTGTATATTAACCCTTTCACCCCTATGTAACTTTAGTAGACTCTACAATGCATTGATCTGGATGAGTCCATTTTGGTCTACAGTGGTGAAAGGGTTAACACTCACATTAGAACAGAACCGAATCTGGCACGAGTTTCCAAAGAGTAGATTTATAAGTGTTAATTTTCAAACAAATTTTACCTCTGGCAAAACAATTCAATTATCTCCAGGAAAGCTAATTGTGTGTTGAACACATAATAAAACAAATCTGCTATGCAACATTGTGATGCTTGAATATCAAGTTCATCATAATTACAAAACGATTTTTTTTAGGCTCGGCATAACTTGACAATTATTATTTTAATCTCAGGAAATGAATACATATAGCATTTCTAAAATTACAGTGCCTATTTCAAATTAAACTTTTGCTCTACTCTATATCTATAAATCTTGCAAAAACTGATGATAGTGCAATTATCTATAGTTGATGTATTGTACAGAGATCCAGTGAAAGCTTTGACTCCAGAAATCGGTGCTATATTACTTTAAATGTCTTTTTAATTTCACGCAATGATGCATACAAAAATCAATTTGGAAGAAAGTGTTCACACTTCCAGGCCTATCTATGCCCGTAAAATCTAACAACATCACCCAGCAAATGATAACTGTTTGTTTTTTGTTTTCGTGCCTATCTGCGTTATAAAATCAATAAATGTACTGGTTACAGACGTGCATCAAACAAACCCTCCATCTGCAGTTCCTGTGCGTGATCATTTTCAATCGGAGAAATGACAGCAACTTTTATTTAATTCCTAATGCTGACCAGCCAAATGAAAAACAAATTGAACTACAGCACTCCTGCCTTAGGTAGCAGTGTACAGTAGAGGGTTGTGGCCATGGGTGATATTTTTGTAAAACGGCTAACCCCTGTATAATGATATGTAAAAAAATTATAAAAATAAAACTGTATTAAAATTGGTATAAGCATGATGAAGTGGGCTATGTGAGCTTCACATTTGTAAAAAAGAAAGAAGATTTCTTTGGTTCGAGAATAAAATTTTGGCCATAATACGAAAGGGTGCGTACACATGAAAAGCTAGCTTTACAGGAGGTAAAATTTTGACAACAGCACACGACGCAAAATTGCAAAAAATCAAGTTTTACAATTTTACTGGGACCCAGATAATTCTGCAACCAGGTAGGTAATCTTTAATTTCAAAAATAGCATTTTTTGGCATTTTTTGGTCATTTTTGATGTGGTAACCATGGTTTTCACACAAGTGACATACATAGAAAAAAGAGGTTTATACACTTCTCAGTGCTTTATATGTATTGTAAATGTAATGCAGTTTACAAATATATATACATGTATACATGTGTTGTGTAGGGTAAATCCGCTGTGTTTACATTTCCTCGACATGTGCCTTGTTTATCAGAGTCGGGCCATTTCTACTGTATTCTGCTACCTTACATATACAGCACCCATAAACAACAGGCTTTGTCGATTCTAGATTGTATATACACACATTCCTCTGACACAAACATGTATGTGGTGAATATCCCATCTATAACTGGTACAGGACATCAGGCTGTATTGGTCTCTTGATATAGGCTTTAATTCTTTTAAGGGAGACACAACTTCACATCAGGTAATAAGGAAGAAAAAGTGGAAAAACACAGATCTAATTTTTGGCCTGTCGTTATTTATATCGTTATTCTGTATAAAGCCTGTTATTTTTTAGGATATAGGACTCCGACATTTATGTTATAATTTTGATACAATTATTAAATGATTACTATAGGACATCATTTGTACAGTGTGCTATTGTGTTCTGTCTGTTGTGACTCTCAATTTCCGGCTCTGTTTTTGAAGTAACTACCATACCACCTTAAAACAACAGGTCAGAAACAGTAAACACACAACCTTGACCTGTCAATTACCTTTCTCCAAGGACATGAAGTTGAGCAACAATGCAAGAATAACATAAACTTGTTAAAGGGCAAAGCCGACCTACTCCATCTACTGCAGTACCCAAACCTGCCACCTAGCTGTCAATATAGTGTGTTATACAGCCCCTATATCACCACCATACCATGTATGTATCAGGTGTACAGTGGTGGCAGCAGCTGTCCTAGTAGAATCAATTAATACCATGGGACTTACACAGTGGCCACCTACTCAGCAACAATTTTCGTATCACTGACTCTGTATTTTGTTTAAGATACATGATGTGTGTGTTTAAACATGTATACGACAGCAATTCTGTGTGTTCATTATTGTAGACAGATGGTGTTCACACACTGGTTTTAATACAATTAAGTAATACTGTATGATAATTAATATAAGAAATATTTGCCATTCATTTGTAATATCTGTAATCACTATATGTGCATTTTGCCCTTCACATGTAATTGGTATATTAGTGTGCTGTGTACGTACAGTACTTATATACGATGTCATGATGAAGTATCCCTCATTATGGGGGACAAAATAGGAGCAAGTTAATTAAACTGTGGAAGAAATTTCCTTGTACATGTATATAGAGTATGTCCTACTTATTGAATTGCTGTACTTTAGAGATATGTAGCTATATATATAAAGGATCTATACCATTAATAGACAAGAACTGTATTCGCTAAACAGAGGTAAGCCATGTTACAGGTACATGTATTTGAAATACAGAGGTGGCCTTTAAAGACATGAGGTATTTATATTACTAAACAAATGTGGCCTTTACAGACAAATATTCACTGCACAATATAAGGGGTCTTTATAGGAAGTTATTCACAATACAAAAGTGACCTTTATAGACAAGAATCGGTTATACTGATGTGGTCTTTGTAGACAGATATTGACTAAACATAGGGGGGTCTTTATACACAGGTATTAATTGTACATAAAGGGTCTTTATAGCAAGTTATTCACTATACAAAGGTGACCTTTATAGGCAGGAATCTGCTATACTGGTGTGGTCTTTGTAGACAGATATTGACTAAACATAGGGGAGTCTTTATAGACAGGTATTAATTGTACATAAAGGGTCTTTATAGCAAGTTATTCACTATACAAAGGTGACCCTTATAGGCAAGAATCCATTATACTTATGTGGTCTTTGTAGACAGATATTGACTAAACATAGGTGGTCTTTATAGACAGGTATTAATTGTACATAAGGGGTCTTTATAGCAAGTTATTCACTATACAAAGGTGACCTTTATAGGCAAGAATCGGTTATACTGATGTGGTCTTTGTAGACAGATATTGACTAAACAAAAGGGACTTTATAGACAGGTAGTAATTGTACATAAAGGGTCTTTATAGTAAGTTATTCACTATACAAAGGTGGCCTTTATAGGCAGGAATTGGCTTTAATGATGTGGTCTTTGTAGACAGATATTGACTAAACATAGGGGTCTTTATATACAGGTATTAATTGTACATAAAGGGTCTTTATAGCAAGTTATTCATTATAAAAAGGTGGCATTTATAGGCAGGAATCGGCTTTACTGATGTGGTCTTTGTAGACAGATATTGACTAAACATAGGGGGTCTTTATAGACAGGTATTAATTGTACATAAGGGGTCTTTATAGTAAGTTATTCACTATACAAAGGTGGCCTTTATAGGCAGGAATCTGCTATACTGGTGTGGTCTTACAATATTTGATTGAACATTTACCTAAATTAGAGTGTCCATCAATACAAAAAATAATCCTGGCTGCCAAAAAGTTGTGATAACTCATCCAATTGAAGTACATGCAATGACTGTCCTCTACCCTTCGTGTGAATTTAGTGATCACTGGTCAAACAAACACTGGATTCAGCCATGCTGTCATTGATTTTTTTTGCCTAGTTTTACAGCCAAATATAGAAACCGGCTGCTCCGATTCCCCTGGCTAAAAAGTACCTGACTTTCCCAAAATGAAGAAAAAATCAGGAATAATCTTCCCACTTTTAATAAAAAAAAAATCAATATTTTTCCAATTCATGTAGGAACAATTTGGTGTAAAATTTAGGTTAAAAAAACGCTGGCAGTTAGTAATTTACAAACATTAGAGTGGAAGATATGCGAACTCATATGTTTTGAAGAATCTAAATGACAATTTTGCATCAAACAAAAGTCTGGCTATCAAATAAAGTCCCTTTAAATTATTCCATGCTTTGTGATGCAATTATGACCAATTCCTGTCTCAATGTATAATAAATACAATAATAAACTTACCGGAAATAATTATAACTGCCAATATGTCATTAAATCCAGAGCTTGTGTCACATATTTCTAATATCCAGGTCCTATCACAACAGTAGTCAGATCAGTGGTCTGATAAATGGTTCCAAAGCAACACTCCAATCGATGGTTAACATCACAATTCTGTAAAATGAAACAAATGAAATACAATGTCAACATCGCTTACAGCATCAAAAAGTATCAGTATTGATCCAAGCTAAAATTGTATCCCAGCAAATGAACATTACATACAGTATTGTACACCCCTCATCAGTGTATAAACATACAATATTGTACACTCACCAACGTTAGAATATACAATAGTGTACACTTGACTCCTTGTCAGCATAAAAATGTACAATATTGTACACTCGTCATCAGTATATCAATTGATATATATATGATATATTGGATAATCATCAGTATATTAATATACAATATTGTTCATTCATCATCATCATATCAATGATATTGTACATATTGTAGATATAACTGTCTAAAAAAATGTCATGGTCCATGTCAGGGATGTGTACACATCCCTGTCTATGTTGATATTTTCAGTTGCCCACAAACCAAATGTACTGGCCACAGGCCAGCAGTCCCAATGATTTTTGTCCTGTCCTGTAATACGGCTGAGTTTAATGACAAAATTATAAAGTAATATCCAGCATCAGTACAAGTCATGCTATTAAATATGATATTAAATTATAAGCATATAATAAACGAGTCAATCATTAAAACTATAGTAGTCATCATTGACCCACCCAACAGTAAACAGTCTTTGATGTTTATCCCATCATAGAAAGAGTACAATAACTCCTGGGAAATAACCAAGGAATTCAGACAACTTTTGTACTATAATATGCATGCAAATGTTTAAATATCACTCTATATACATGAGCTGAGCACATAATGTTTTATAAATGGCTACATCACATGATTCACAGTAATCACAGATGCCGTCCGCTATATGATAATGTGCAGATTGACAGATTATTGACAGACCCCATTTACATTACAGTAACAGGTCAGATAAGATACCGAGTAGGACAACGTCTGTCCACATATTTACATCTGGCGGGGACGTTTTATAAAAATAACTTTTATCAACCAACTGACATGTGCATAAAACCAACAAAAAGTGTTTAAAAAAAACAATATTTTATGAGAAGGCTGACATTTCGTGTGCTTACCGTCTCGAGATCAGCGGAAGTAAATAATGTTAATCATTGTTGCTACTAAGGTAAACATCCAAGGGTATCCGAATGGAATCTGACTCAGATAATCTGCGTCAACTAAATGTTTTATCTAAACCTTGAATTACATTTACATGTCAAGAACGAATTCAACAGTGTTAAACTTTTTTTTGTTGGCAGAAAGACATTTCGTTTCAGTAAGTTGGTATTTATTTCATCTAAAGAAAATACGTATTATTCTTAAAAGATTGAGAAACGCTGTATAATGAATTAAAACCGGGAAGGGTTTTGTTAACTCTTCAAAAAATAAGATTATTGTCACACCATAAGATTATCACTGAACCATTTTTTTTTTATTTGGCCACTCAATATTTCCGATTGAAACAAATGCAAGCAATAGCAACACTAAAGCTTTATATATGTAGAAATAATTCTTGTATTAATTATTATAACCTACCTCAGAAAAATGCATTTTTTAATATAAAGTGAAAAAAGAGTGGGAGTATATACGTTCTTTTTACCACTTCTCCCGAATTCGCAAACATCTTTTCAACAGGTTGGACGCAACACCTAATATGGGTTATGATCATGCACGCGGGTAGCAATTAAACAATTCTGATGAGTAAATCTTGTTAAAATAACAAATATAACTGACTTTGTTCTCCATTGACTACAGTGCAAAGTCCTTGGGAGCATCCAGGCCAGTGCAAATGTGACTGCAGGTGAGCATGGACATTTCTATGTTCTATACATGTACATTGTATAAGTTAATATTATTCTTATTCTACACGTAACACCCCATTATAAGCAATGGAGGTGATACAGCTTGTCATGTTACATGTTTTTATTTCACTTTAATTCCCCTTTCAGTAATAAAATTGTTACTGTAAACAGTAATTGTTACCCAAAAGCAAAACTATAACCAATGAGAGGTGCCCAACCAGTTTAAAAGAAGCAAAATAAATTGAGTATAACCTTTTAACCAAGCCTCCTAGCATGGTCATTTATATTCCATTGACCAATATCAGTATTTATGCTAATATTGTTAGGTGATTATGCTAGAGGTTGGCATCAGTGGTTGACCCTTCCACAATGTAGTAGGGCCAACTAGCTACTAACTATACATTATCAATGAATTTATATAGCTTACCCTTATTATGACCTTCTACCCTTAGGTGACCATGTATCAATGTCCACAGAAAAGAATCCAGTCAGTGTATATATAGATATATGTAGATCCTCCTGTAGGGCAACACATCATTGGTTTCTAATGGCCATGGTACGGTTAATCAAACATATATCATGATCTAACCATCAGTTTCCTGCACTAACCTGCACAAAGATCTCCTGTTATATTTTTCTGCTGTCAGAAATGAAAACGAAGATTTGTATGGCATGGTTGTTTCTACATATGTAATATGTCACCCTGGTAAAATAGTAAATACTAGCCGCTTCCTACCGACTCGGCTAGGGAGAATTTCTCTTTAGCTCATTCGGTAGAGCGTAAGACTAGAAAGCTAGAGGTCCTGGGTTTGACTCCTATTGCAGACATTGAAAGAAAATAATGATCTCTGTCCCATTGACACCCACATATGGACCCAGGTAATATAGACAAATATACTCAGCGATACTTTCACAAGAATTGCTAAAGTTCTTTCCTGGAGGAGGAGTATGTCACCCTGGTAAAATACTAGCTGCTTCCTACTGACTTGGCTAGGGAGAATTTATCTTTCGGTCATTCGGTACAGCGTAAGACTAAGTAATAGTAAGCCAGAGGTCAGAGTTCGACTCCTATCGCAGGCATTGAAGAAAAAATTGACCTCTGTTACATGTATATTTCATCTGCATCATCCAAATAATACATCAGTAGAAAAGAACGAATCTAGCGTATAGTCATTTTGCAGTGTAAAAATTTGAATGCAAATTCAGGAGTAAATAGGTACAAATTCTGTTTTTATGTTTACAGGATGGGGAGTCTTATCTGAACAAGGAGCTGTATGGTACATTGGAAGATATGGTGAACCATTACATTACAGAAAGTTGAAGTAAGCATCTGTTTATAATTACATATACATTTGTACTATTGATATGGAGAACAGTACAGAGGATTCTGCAGATAAGCCTAAAAATGACTTAACAGAGCAACAATCAAAACTTCACAAATCTTCTCTTCCATTGACTGACATTCCAGAGGACCCCACGGAGGATAGAAACAGTCGAGATCAGGATCATAACCTCGACGAAGATGTCACGAAAGATGAAAGTAAAAATCTTATAAATTCAAAAAATGTAAGGTCCAAGGGAGACAACCTTAATACAAGTTCAGAGATAATAGCTATAGAATCAACCGATATAGAAATGGAGCCTATGCATCTTCCTTCTTCAAATAATGAAAATGATGAGGAATCAAGTGAGTTTATTGGCAAGAAGAGCGGTCCGCATGTTGTCTTATTCTCTGTGATTTGTATCCCAGCAGCCTTCATAGCATCAATGTGTGTAGCCTTCTACTATGGAGCGTCATCGTGGTACAATCTCTATATCTACTTCAGTGAAGAAAAATCAATCTGGCACAAAGTATCAATTTGTCCTGTGCTTATATTGACATTCCCATTCACTGTGGGGTTGTCGTCCATCGGTGTTGCGTTTTTTGCTGCGTTTGTCCAGCTTTCGTGGTTTTACCTGAGCTGGCATGCGGAGTTCTTGGACTTCGAAAAAGGTTTTTACGGCTGGTTGTGCAATAAGATTGGTCTGCCACAATGTTGTCCATATGAATTGATTATTTTGAATAATGAATCTGAGCTAGAGCCTATGAGGACTGCATTGTAATTGGAAATTGTATTTCAAAATTTACAACTTTGTATTTATGATTTTTTTTACATACATACATGTACATCTTTAAATCATTACTGCTTGTTTATATATATACATGTAATCAGAGCTCCAACTGATGATATTTTCTTGCCTTTTGAAATTGTATCAAGCTTTAAGAAATATATCAATTTTTGTGTGCCTACGATGGATGTCGGAAAGACACATGGGCGTTGCTTTTCCAACCACGACGGCGGCATCAACAATGTTAAGGTTTTGCGTTTAGCTCTGTTTCTGACAAAACTACACCAACAAAACCTCGATCATAGATGAAGCATGGGTAGTGGAGCCTACTGCACTAAAAACATTTCATTGATTTCTGCATTTTTTTGGTAAATACCTCAAATTTCTGGACTTAGAAAAAAACTCAACGTTAAGGGTTTGCGTTTAGCTCTTGCATATTAGGCTCTTTCTGACAAAGTATAAGAGCTACACCAACCAAACCTCAATCATACATGTATCATGGGTAGTAGAGCCTATTACTCTAAAAACATTTCATGGATTTCTGCACTTTTTCGGATAAAAACCTGAAATTTCTGGACTTAAAAAAAATCAATGTTGTGATTTTGCGTTTAGGTTCGTTTCCTTATGTACTATGTCAAATGCTTATTATATTGACAAAGCGGGACAGGCGACACATACAGTTACGCGTAATTCTTGTCTATTAAAGAGGTATCAGTCACAACAGCATCAGAGTAAGTTGCTTCAATTTACCTGATGCTTGCAATTGTTGAACAATTTCGCCCCATTAGCGGACTTCTTCAGAACGGTCGACAAGCAGCAAATCAATTTAAGGACCTACTCTGATGCTGTCTTGATTGATACCTCTACCAAATAAACACTTTGATGGGTGTGAAGCTTGCCATTGATTTTGATCAAACTAAAAAAAGAAAAAAAGAAATTTTACAAAAGCGATTGTATGATGAATTGCTTGTATTTTATAGTTAGTAAATATGAATCAAATCAAGAAAACATGACTGTGAACTTCATTGAACAGAATTACAAATATATTCCACATGCATGTTTTTGCCAGTATTATTTGTTCAGTATTCAAACATCTTCTTGATGTTAATAAATTGATTAATCTGTATAACAATAATTATATGGTCCATTGTCAGTTACATAATTACTTGATAACTATTCTGTATTTTGATGCCTTTAGCTTCAGCCTTGTTCTCACTTTCAATTCTATTGTCATTTTTCTGTGACCATATTTCCATAGTAACTATATAGATATGTGAACCTGCTTATGAATATGGACAGAAAATTATCAGAATGTCTGTCATCAACAAGAAACGAAAAAAAATGAACTGTGATTGTTGTGGAATTTTTGTCTGCTATGCTATGTGAACCTGCTGATGAATATGGACAGAAAATTATTAGAATGTCTGTCATTAACATGAAACGAACAAAAAATGAACAGTTATTGTTGTGGAATTTTTGTCTGCTAACATATAGATTTGGAAAACAAACACCAGCTATAGCTGAACATTACCCATCATTGGAACTTGAAACCTTTTCATCTAATTCTTTTTGCTTACAGGGCATGCAAGGACCCCTTAATTGAAGGAATTTATAATTTCGAAAAAAAATAAAAATCTTTCAAATCATAGGTAACACTTTAAGATGCAAAAAAGCTTGGATGCATGCTTTTTCCTGCAAGACTCACCCAGATTTAAAAAATGCACTTTATCTTTTAAATAAATATGGGATTCATCAACATTTTGAAAATCATGTTTAGAACTTATACAAAATCCAACGAAAGTCTCTGTGACTCCGTTTGATAAAATATATGGTACATACATGTGATAACATCAGAAAGTAAAATAAGGAGATTTCTCTGCCACAGGTTAGTAGGGAGATTTTCATTGCAAGCATTCTTTTTCCAGAATCCGAGTAATGAATTTTCTTTTATATTGAACAAATTACTCATATATAAAGATTTGTTCACATAACTGCATTTGATCCAATGCTTTATAAACCGAAGAAAATCAATTACAAATGGGAGTTGGTATCTAAAAAATAGATAAGAAAAAATAGAGGAGGCTCAAATAGGGCGAGGCATCACATGTATGAGGTATGGAAGTATATAGATACATGTTCAGGAATATGATAATTCAACCAAGACACTGGCAAGATCACATGTACACAACCAAAAACAGTCACATTACACTTTAGTACATGTTGAAGAAATCGCACATGACAGTCATGATCATGAGGTGCAATTATAATGAATTCCTTATTAGTTTTAAACTTCTGTGTATGGAATTCAGTGAGAGTTATCTACCTTTATACACTTGCTATAGCTATATATGGCTAATAAGACTGCAAGTGGAATTTTGTAACATAAACTGTCATATTTTACACGAGTAGTTATAAGTTAATGATATGGTACACTTATAGCTACGTTAGGGACAATTTCGTTGAGTCCAACCTAACCTCACATACTTTGTTGTGAGTCAACATTTTGCCAGGTAATTTTTGCGGATGATATTTTTTTTACATTTTACATTTTGTATTAATCACCAATATATGCGTGGGTTGCTTTTAAATGTGTTGGGTTGGTATAGGTCATAAATTACATTTGATTTCATCAATGAAATTGTCGGGATCTTTTAAAGCCAGTGATATACATGTATACAAACAAGCCATGTAATTATTATGTTTATAACTGTTGTAGTTCATGTTTATTTCATATTTGTGATACACATTGACAATGTTGCCTTATTTTTATACTGTTTGCTCCTAAGGAGGTAATACCGGTGCTGATATTTCTCGTGTTGTGCAATACGGTATCTATTTATTATCCATTTACCATGATATGTTCATATAAAAGATCCTTTTGACGTTAAATATAATTATAGCTGTTTCATTATGTTGCTTTACTTATATGATATACATACGATATGATACCATAATATATTCATAAAATCAACATGACGTTCAGGTAAATGTGCCAGAATGTTGCTTCAATCCGTACGTGTACTTACAAATGGTATGTATATGTAGCTATCACAAAGTTACCATGATATTCAGTGAATATGCCTATGATATATTAGGACATCACCAATTGTGAGCTCATAAATTGAAAATGAAATGACATCACACTTTCAGATTATATTATGACATTAAAATGTTGACAATATACCATATATAGATTCAAGATTTGTTTCCATTAAATATGAGATAACAATTTAGTGACAATCTGATATATTCACTGTTAGTATCCCCTCGCGACGAAAGTTTGAGGAGATATAGGATTCCATACATACGTATGTATGTTACAATCTTCATCATCGCTCTAGTGACCTCATTCACCAACAGAATTTCATGAAACTTCATACAAGTGCATATATAGTATGACAATACTTTAAACAAGTTCGCTTTTCGGGTTTCTATATTGAAGGTCAATGTCACTGTTACTATTTTGAGAAAATTGAGAAAAAACTTTGTCGTTACTCTAGCGACTTCGTTACTGAAAGGATTTTTGTGAAACTTTTTGCAAGTGTTAAGTACGGCAATGCCTTGGACAAGTTTGCATTTCCAGTTTCTATGTTCAAGGTCAAGGTCACTGTTACTACTTTTAGAAAAAACATTGTCATCGCTCTACCAACTTCATTCCTGAACAGAATTTTCATTAAACTTGATAGCAGTGTTTGGGATGACAATACCTTGAACAAGTTTGCGTTTCAGCTTACTGTGTTAAAGGTCAAGGTCACTTTTACTATTTTTTGTAAAAGATTTGTCATCGCTCTATCAACTTCATTCCTCAATGGAGTTTCATGAAACTTCATACAAGTGTTTGGTGTGGCAGTGCTTTGAACAACTTCTCCTTTCTGATTTGTACATTGAAGGTCAAGGTCACTGTTACTATTTTTTAGGATTTTTTTTTAGAAAAAACTTTGTCATCAACTTCATTTCTTCTTACATATGTCACAATGTGTGAATGCGAGGGGATTTGTATCACTTGTGATGCCATGTGTAACACTTGGATCTTTTTGATGCCGTTTATCAGTTATCTGTTCTCTAGGCTGTGATGTCACAACTGTCCAATAAGTTAAGCACTTATAAGATAGGTGGGTAACTTATTGAACAGTTGGTCAAACTTATTGGACAGTTCATGCAGCTTATTGGATACTTGTGAGATCATCGCTATGTCTAAATCTGAATTTATTTTTAAACTAGTCAATAATACTGTGGACAAACTATCTGGACTTTTAGTTAACATAATGAAATGCGACATGTAATTGTGGATTTTAATATGGTATACATCCATAGATTCAGAAAAACAGTTTTGTGGTTTTATGACCCTTTTTAAAGAACCACCTAAACTTCTGATTGCATGAATTGCTAAAATCAAACATGTAATAAGACGAACAACTTAATCGCAGTAAAACTGTGTTTATCATTGTTCTTCATAATCGGCTGCCATGATAAAAAACGTTTGTTGTAAATGTATTCTTTATTGTGGGCCATTAAAACCAATGGGAATAAATTAAAGAGGGTGCTTTTTTACAACAAAAAAACAACATTTTTTTTTTATCAGTTTGACCAATACAATGATAAGAAGTATACCCATTGATAATGGTTTTCATTGAAACATTTCATGTATCATGAGTCAGCTTTTTTAAGAAATACATATATATGCTTTTTATATCAACTTTATTGTATCAACATACATGTAATTTGTGCAAATAATTTTTCTCTATTATTTTGCTACACAACATAAGTCTTAATCAATAAAAAAATGTTTAAAGTATAGCATGGAGTAATAGCAACTTTCTTCATTTTTATTTTTAGCTCACATGATTGCTTATGTGAGCGATTGCCATTTACTTTTAGTCTGTTGTTGCATGTCTTGTGATATGCGTGTATGTCGACAATTCACGTATTTTGTTTTTTTCCTTCAAAACCACTGAAGGAACTTCAAATACGGTACACATGTACAAATGTTCCATATGATGTCCAAACCAAAAGTCCTTATATTTTCCCACCAAAACCAAATAAAAGATGGCCACCATGGCCTGGCTGATCAACATTTGCGACTCCTTGAAGGTATCGACATCCAACTTGGTACTAATGTTCCTGATGAGGTCCCCAACAAGTCTTGTTACTTTTCTTGCTAATCTGAAATTCAAGATGGCTGCCCTGGCCTATGATTGGCCGAGATATTTTCAACATATTGGGAAAGGTTGTGATGATTTAATTTACTCCCAACTTTGTACAAATATTCCAAATGAAATCCCCAACAAGTGTTCTTACTCTTCAAGATGATCCAAAACACCAAGATGGACGTCCTAGCATCTGATTGGGTGAAACATTTTCGACTTATTTTCTTCTCGAGGCTTATTACAAAGTTTCCTTAGTTTAGGAGTTCCTAAACAAGTGTTTTTAGTTGAGTATGCCATACTGCGGTGTCCGTCGACCATCAGTCAACTTTTTCTTTTGAACGACTTCTTCTCAAGAACTGGAGGACCTAGGGTCATAATATTTGGCCAGTAGGTACCTGGGATGGAGTGCTATACAGTTTCCTCATTAAAGTGACCTTGGCCTACTTTCAAGGTCACATGGGTCAAATATGTAAATATATAAAATTGAAACAACAATATCCTAAGAACCATTTGGACTAGAGTCATGATACTTGGGTATTTTATGAAGACCAGCAGTGCGAATATTTTTCTTAATAACAGTAAGGAGGTCAAAGGTCAACTTAAGTGCTAGTCAGGGGTCAAATGTCAACATGGGTTAAAAGCTTTAACAGTCTTCTTCTCAAGTTCCATAAGGCCCAGGGTCATGATATTTGGCCAGTAGGTACCTGGGATGGAGTGCTTTCAAGATTCCTCATCAAACTGACCTTGACCCAGTTTCAAGGTCACAGGAGTCAAAAATGTTAAAAACTTCACACAACGATATCCTAAGAAGCATTTGGTCTAGAGTCATGATACTTAGGTATATTATGTAGATCAGCAGTGCAAATCTTTTTCTTAATTACAGTAATAAGGTCAAATGTCAACTTTAAGTGCTAGCCAGAGTCAAAGGTCAACTTGGGTTAAAAGCTTTAAAATTACAATTTCAAATTTCAAACAACAGTATCGTTTAAGAGATGTTAAAATGTCTTGTGTTCTAGTTACCAAATTTGGTCTGAAGTTACCTATATGTCAGTTTCTTGTAACAAAAGAAACAGGTGAGCGATACAGGCATTCTGGGCCTCTTGTTAATTGTCATACTGATCTTACAATTCGAAATGGCCACCATAGTGTCTGTTTGGCAGAGACATTTTCGACTTCTCAAGAAACACTGCATTGATTGACAACAAATTTGGTGCTGTTACTTTTTACGCCTGCTCAGAAATTCAATATAGCAGCCCTTGCCTTTGATTGGCTGAGGCATTTTCATCTTCTTCCCAAGAACAGCTGCATTGAACACCGAAAATTTGGTACAAATGTTTTTACGCTTTTCTCTACTTTTAGTACAGATCTGAAAATACAAGATGGTCACTGTTGTTTTTGATTGAGTGACACATTTTTTATTTGAACTTGTTTAAGCGTTAAGACCGTTTTGGCTTCGTTTTTACTCGTCTGCCTAAATTATTTTAAATCATTTCTCAAACTCAACTTTTCTTGTGGGATCACAAACATTTTAGATGAACAGAAATCAGCAAAGAAAAGTATTTCGACATGTTATAAAATTCAAGTTCCATACAAGTGCAGTTTTAAAGGGAAAAACAAAAATTGGATTCTCCGCATTGTACCTAAAAGATGGTTTGTTCACTGTATATTTCAACCCAAACATGATAAGTCATTTAAATACACCAATTTGATATGTAAATTGAATATATTAAACTTAAAAAATAGTTGTAAAAATGATATGGAACGAATCAAGTGTTAGCCCGAAATAAGACATTAAGGCTGAAACCTTCCTAAAAACAGCCCCCTGACATTACTGCATTTCAATCTCTTTAGTAACCAAACTGACTGCTGCAAAATGACACCATCTATAAAGTTCATTACTGTAATATGGGTGTGCCACAGGTATCTATCCTGAATGAGAAAAATACTAAAGTACTTATATATCAAATAAGTGCATTAGTATTTGTTAGCTCACCGAAGGACCATGGTGAGCTTATGCCATACCGCAGCGTCTGTCATCCATCCGTCCGTCAACTTTTCCTTTAAAATCTTACTAGTCCTGAACAGCTTTATGGATTTTTACTTAATTTGGCCTCGATCATCCTTGGTCAAAGGGTTCTCAATTTGGTATAAATGGAGTGTGTGGCCCCTGTGGGTACACAGGGACGGGGCACAATAGGGGAATTTGAGGTTTAAATCTTAAAAATTGTTCTTTTTCTGTACCATTGTATCCAAATTTGGCCTGGAGCATCCTTGGACAAAGGGGACTCAATTTTGTATAAATGGACGGTGTTGCCCGTTTGGGGGCAGGGCAAAATAATGGAATTTTAGGTTTAAATCTTCAAAATCCTTCTTCTGTACTATTGGAGTTATTTTATCAAAATTTGGCCTGGAGCATCCTTGGTCAAAGGGGACACCGTGTTGTATAATTGGAGTTCGTGGCAAATCTGGGTGCAAAGGGGCGGGGTCCAATAGGGAAATTTGAGGATTAGATATTCAAAATCCTTCTTCTTAACTATTGGAGGGATTTTATCCATATTTGGCCTGGAGCATCCTTGGGCAAAGAAAGGGGACTCAGTTTTGTATAAACGGAGGATGTGGCCCCTCTAGGTGCAGGGCCCAATAGGGTAATTTGAGGTTTAAATCTTCAAAACCCTTCTGTACCATTTGAGGGATTTTTTTTCCAAATCTGGCATGGAGCACCCTTCAGCAATGGGGCCCAATTTTAAGGGAGTATGTGCCCCCTCCCCCTGGTTGCAGAGGGGCTAGGCCCAATAGGGGAAACACAATAATAGATTATCAAAATCCTCCTGTAGTATGATTTGAGATATATTAAACCAATTTTGTGTAGATCTTCCTTGGGCAAAGGGGACTCAATTTTGTATAAGTAGAGAGTTGTTTTTAGGGGGAAGAAAGAAAGGACCTAATGAAGGATGGATGTTGCCGAGAGACAGAACCAATATTTGGAAATAGTTGTTATATGTAATAAGAATAATTTTCCATGGTTGCTGTAATATCCAGGTGAGTGATACAGGCCATCTTGTCCTCTTGTTTCTCATTTGCGATATATACCTGTGGTCGTACCGATCTTAATTTCTCTTTAATTGCTGTTGTGTGGCGCATTGAGCGCACATTAAGATGGTTGTGGCAAATGGAAACCATGAAAATCATTCTGAAATGTTTCAGTTTATATTTAGACGGCGATTTTGGCAATTTCGTGTATGTCAGCCAATCGGAGTCAAAGAATTGACTCCGATTTCTTTGACTCCGACATAATCTTATAGAAAGTGATCTTCATGACGAAGATTGGTCTTAATCACGAGGAAAACCTCTTCATGCGAAGACATGTGGATGGAGCTCTTCTCGACTGTGATTGGCAGGTGTAAAAACACAGGGGCTTGGCACGAAATCCTGTGGTGTAAAACGCCAGTCAATCACAATCGAGCAGGCGACACTCCTGTTCTCTTTCGTATGAAAAAGACAATCTCTATGACAAAAAATAATCTTAATCATGACGATAAAAATACACAAATTCAATCATTTTTCAAAGACAGGTCCATTTTATTTCACAAATATGCACATTCAAATTTCAATTTTCACCTTTTTACCGTTCTTTACCACGATTACCAAACCAACACTGTCTGGAATATGAATGGTTAAAGAGTTGGTAGAGTTCACTACATTTTCAGGCACGTTTTCCTTAGATTCGTCCGGGTCCTTTTCCACTGAAATGCTGGTGATCTCACGTGCAAGTAAACTTGATTATTATGGAATAAAGTTCTTCCCAGTATGGGCGTTTTCCACGTTTCCAACTTCATGGGGGGTTCAGAGAGTTGCTAATTTCCTGGAGCATGGGCGTGAGTTCGCGCTTGTACAGATTTACAGCAGAGCTACGGTGCCAGGATCTAGAAGTTTATACAGTGTAGTACAGCATGCGACGCATCCGCTATGATTTTCAATATGTCTACCGTTTGTATCAATCCCAGCGTCATCGTAGAACTTTTTCATCATATTTCTCATGTCTTTCTCAGGAATATTTGCAGCATTGAATCGAGGATATTTATATTTATCCGACAATGGCATGGGTTTCTTGTAAAAGTTTCCTTTTCAGGGGATACTTAAGGGATAGGTACAATGAATAGAATTTTACCAAACATCTGTGATTTTCTGGGCTAGCAAAAGGTTTTACCTTTTTTGGTGGTATTTTCCGGTGGTTCAGTCCTCCTTGCTCCTTGAGTGTATTCTTGTCCGTTTTCGCGATCCGTTTTAATTTTGAACCGTTCCGCTTCCAAGTCTTTGTGTAACTGTTCCTCCATGTTGTAAAACAAGAGGCCCAGAGGGCCTGTATCACTCACCTGAAAATGTTAGCAAAATTGAAGATGAAATAGCCAGATGTTACTGTACATGTATTACATGGTTAGACAGAAGGTTATATTTAAATGCGATTGGACAAAAACCTGTCATTCCTACAGGTAAAGGAGGATTTTACAGAAGTTGCTGTTTCCACTATTGGGCCCCGCCCCTCTGCCCCAGGGGGTCAGACCCACTGTTGATACAAAATTAATTCTCCTTCACCCAAGGATGCTTTAGACCAAATATGGACATAATCCTGTCATATAGAATGAAGTATAGGCAGAAGATTCAAGGTGACGAAGCAAATGATGAACATTTAAAATTCACAGTAGACATATCTTTAGAACGTATACCAGAGTTAGAACTGATAGGTGGTGGTAAGTGAACAACAGCACGTGATTAATAACGACTACATGACGTCATTTCATCGTCTTTTCGAGTTCAAAGGTTGCTGTCACTGAAGGAATTCAGAACCGGTGTAATAATTTGATCGTTGTTTTATTAGGAGACTTGGACAACAATCATATGCAAATGAATGATTTTGTTTTTATGTACTGTAGTGAGAATCACTGTTTTGAAGTTCGTCGATCTCGAGATAAAATGATTGGTGAATTGGAGAATGAAATATTGAAAGTACATTGAATTTTAAAATAAATAGACGTAACACTTACTGTGTTAACGGTCGTCCTTCAGTTTGCATTACGACTCATGACGTGTCTTGACATAAACGTTACACTTCATCGATGCTTGAAACTGTGTTGCAGACTCTAATACCTCGTACTTAACTTACAACATGACCAACAGGGACGGCTTACTACTATACGTTGTATTGCATGGTAAGCGTGTCTATTTCTGATTTTCGATCGTGAAGCCTTCCCTTTTTTCCATTTCTTGATCGTTACTTCAATGTTTCCCGCGCCTATGGTGTTCAACATATCGAAGATGAATCGATATAGGGCTTGCTCCAAATATCACAATATCCAGCATAGGTGTCAAATGATGAGGACAGACATACAATGTGTTACAGTGTTACAAGTAATCCAGGTAGATGAATATGTTTTTATGACCGTAATAAATAAATATACAGCATTTGATATAGCGCTCTATCTAGCTAACATAAGCCACTCTAACGCGGTTTACAGTACACAGATATATAATTAATACAAATAGCATATACATTAATCCAGAAACGTATAATATACGTCTCTGATTAATCAATACAATTTTGAGAAATTCGCAGGAGCTGCCTTATCAGGCGCTAACTTCCTAGTCCTATGTCACCTGACTAATATCTCCCTATGTGTGTATGCCTGCGTGTGTGCTGGGTATGTTTTGTGTTCTGTTTGTAATGGGACCGTGCTGCCAACGGCCTCTTTTATAATGCCACCTCACTTGAATGCTACAGCACAGATACCGCAACATCTACCCCAGACCATTGTATACTCCACCTGGGTTGTTGGAGTTGTGCGGGCAGGAGAAAAACACTTTTTCTGATATTCCATGCTTACGACAACTTCATGGTATGGGAAATATTTTATTTCCTTGTCTGATATGAATATCGACTTCTGATATTTAGCTCAAAAGTGTAACATGTGGTTTGACTCTCACTTCCCCGATTTCCTCTTTGAGAACGTAGCATTACTGAGACTTGACAGATTTTATGGCGGAAGTTGTCGATGGAGCAGGAGACGCTACTTTTCCGGAATAACCGGTATTACCTCCCTTTACTGTAAATACTGTATACTACTCATATTTTGCGGAATATTTGTTTTAGTCCATGTATATTGGAAATATAACGTGAATTTTTAGAAGGAGAATTACAATGTTGTTAATTGTTAATGCTTTTTTCTTATTGAATTCCAATACATTCACGATTACTTATCGCTTTGTCTTCTGAAACTCCAAAATGAGATCATGTAACAGTGGTACTATCTACAATATGGGATAATATATCAACAATGTGTGGTAATTTGTATAAAATGTGTATGGTATTAC